AAGAATGAGTTTGTTTGTTCAACTAAACCAAGATAATTACAGATTGAAACTCCTTGGTTGGCACCCTTGGGACCTGACAGGTCCCAGCCAAGGAATTTGTCAGACCAGTGGAGGTCAGTGCTGTCCTCTCTGCTCCCAGTGGTCAGCCTGATTCTGCTCCCAGCTCCTCGCCTCTGACCAGCAGAGTGCCATGAGCTCCCCAGCTCTGAGGCCTGGCCCTTAGAGCTCCCCTGTTTGGATTGCTGGGGCTCAGTTCTCAGTCCTGGTCCAACAATGCTCTTGGTCCCAACTTGCCAGTCTTTCCTTGTGAGTGCTCCAGCCCTGAAGCATCCACAGAGTCATCGATGATGCTGGATTAGGGAAGTCTGGATTACGCAGGTTCTATCTTTGTGACACTGACATTCTCTGAAGTACATTTTCCTGTGTGTGTTTAACATATAATAAAATCTACACACTGAAGAGGGGAGAAAAAAAAAAGATCTTAGCTGTCTTTCTAAAAAACAAAAAAAAAAAAGTTTGAGGCTAAGAACACTGTTCAAGAATGTTGGATATTGGTACATGCTACTGTCTAATACTTTAACTATCATTGCTAGTTAGAATTTTCAAAAGTGTTTAAATGAGAAACACAAGTCCTGTTGGCTTTTGTTATAAGAAAAGCACCAAGTGTCTTTTCTTTCTACACCTAAGCACCAAGTGTCTTTTCTTTCTACACCTAAGCTCTCCATTACCTGGCACACTTAAGAAATTAGGGTGTGATTCTCAAGTGTTTTTTTTAAAGGGATTTACCCTCCTAATTTATTTAGCAGTTTTTGAAAATCCTACTTTATGCTCTTACAGTATTCAACATATAGAAAAAGGAGACATTTATATCTATCACGAAGTATCCATTTACTAGACACCATCTATAGTTCAATTACATGAAAATATAATGACCTTTTCTCTATATATAGTCACTTAATCCTTACAGTTGCACTTCCTGTTTTGCTCAGGATTTCTCATTAAATTTTATAAACATATTAATTTATCTTATCATTTGGATGGTACTATATCTCATTCATAAAGAGTGCATTAATGGCAGCCTCTGGATGTTATATAGTTTGGGTACAACTGGTATAAAAATAGCTATGAGACTATCTGATCACGCACTGCTCTTGCATAATTACACAACCGATGGTTTACCAAGTGTGCTGGTATATTATTGTTCCCTTCAGAGTTGTCTCTAATGGCTGAGTGCAATTAGATATGTGATGAAGACTTGAATGTTGAGAATGAAAACTTTTTGCAATGCATAATTGTTTTTAATTCTGCCAAACAAATGTCCTTTGTGTGAAAGAAAATTAAGCCAGGGTAATTCTATAGTTTTGTCCTTTTTATAACATGGAAATAAAATTCAAATGCCTAATGCAATGAAATATCTAGTTAGTTTACAGGTAGTTAGTTAGTTGACAGAATTTTTTTTAAACAATTACTTTACCAGTTTGCTTTAAAAACCATAAAGTTGAGGGTTACATTGTATGTTACTGTTTATAACCATCTTGTTAAAAGCATGGTTCTGTTTCCTAATGTTCTTTTTTCCCCCCGAGGTATCCACTCAGAGAAAGTATTACCAGCATTTGCTAAGTACAAGCATACAAAAATCATGATTTAGCTTAAATAATGATAACAGCAAAGCATTTTGGGTTCTTTTCATTGGTATTCAGGTTTTTAATTTTTAGGGTTCACCTTTCCAAATGTTTCTCTGCAGCTGTGAAAACTAGACAATTTCTTAAAAAAAACCCCCTGAAATTCACGTGACTCCTGAAGGTGGGGCTTTAGGCTAAAAATAATCAACACAAGATTCATGATAAAACTTGCAGGAGTTGGCTACACTCTACAGGTATTAGTAAACATTAATGTAAGCAGCAGACAGGTTAACAAACTTCTAATACTATGGAATCTTGGAGAAGCTCTCCATTACCATGTGAGGGAGCAAGTAATCCATTTCCACTTATCCCTCCACTATAATAAACTAGTTTCCTTCTTTTTCCATGTCCATACTAGACCAAAAATGAACTCCCCCTGAGCTCTTTCATTTCTGGTTCCAGGATTTACCTTATACAGTACAACTAACTTCTACTACTACTTCTCCCTTCATGCAGATCATATAAGACCTTTGATGTAATAAGACTTTATCCAGATCTCGTACACTTTATTTATTCTGGTCTAATTTCAAAGGCCTAATGACCTACCAGGGATCGTGGAGTTGTGTTTTCAGTACAAACTGAATGCTTTAATAATTTAATTTTTTGTACATATAAAACTGGATGCATACTGAACACTCTAGACAGATTTTCCTGTAAGCAGAGACATGTTAACTTCTTTGCAATTTAAAGTTATGAACCTGCAAAGACTGATGAATTTAACTTAGGATCCTTCCTATATACTTCCCTGGGACTATTAACATGGACCAAGTTAAGCATGTGCCTGTTTTTGCAAGATTGGGATTTTTTATACATTGATATTTTTGTTCTCTTCATAGTGCAGGAAAGTCTGTGGGAGTTTTACAGTTTTCTTCCCCTCCGCCCCAAGTACGCTGATTATCTGAAAAGACTGACTGCCCTAAAAACTGATGATAGAGAGCAGCTAACCCCATGGGAGAAGATCTGAGGCGTTTCTCAGCTTCAGCTGCCCCTGCAGGCAGCTGTGGGAGA